ACTTTGAAAAGATGCAGCTTCTAATGACTCGTCCCTACTTCAGGCGTGTCTGCTGAATCTCTGCTTAAGGTAGGACGAGTAGAAGGTCTTAGAAATAGCCAGAAGACAGTCGTTATTTAATAACAGGTTAGGCCTGGCTGGCTTCAACGACCCAGATCCTTTGCTATGCGCTATAGAAAGCAACCCTGATACGTTCTGTTCTGTGCTAGCTCTTGATGGCCGCCTGAAAATTTCTAAGGCCTCAAACCAGGAGTCGCATTGTGGGTCTGACGAGGTGCATTTGATTCTACAATAGGACCCCAACAGTAACAAAGCTGCAAGCTGCTATCCTGATGGTCTTGTGGTCAGCGTTGAGTGTGCATCATGGAGACAGGTCAGCAGCCACCTAGAGATTCTCTCCTGTTTTATTGCTTCACTTCTGGTGAAGAAGGCCATGAGTAACCTCATAACCACAGGAGATATCATGATATCTATAATAGTATGCCCAGGCCTCTTATCACTGTTCGCCCAGGCTCTCAACCCTGCTGGTACGGTAGAGTGATAGCTAACAGTATATATGCGGAGAGTGCCAGAGCTTACAGACGTACTCAAGCAACTTCCACCTCTAACGTATATACAGTCTGCTTCCTAACCTACTAGTGAATATGCAGTATGTGATGATGAAATTGGGCGTGGGAAGGAAGTGATACACAGTGTCTAGCAAGACTTAAGCTGCGGAAACAACCAAGACGAGAGCCATACGTCAAGAGGAACATCTATTAATAAGCTGGTTGGGCACCCAGACCGTTAGTGATGATATACCTGTATTGTCATTCCCTGCTCTTTCGCTACCTACATAGCTGGGCGCTAAGCTGCATATGAGGACCGGCTTTGGCGCATTTTACGACCTCCTGATGCCCCACAATGATAGGTGCCAGCATGATGAACAGCAGACTGGGGAGCATAGGACTCTGAGGATATTGTTGCGGCGAACTAAACGGTGAGTCGGTGTGGGTGCAGGCCGCCTTGGGAATCTGGCCATTAGCCAGGAGAGGCAGGCACGAAAGGATTGAAAGCTATTCTTCTCAACACCGCTCCCAACGCAATCTATCTTACCTTACTTTATGACATGCTGAATAGTAACGGTCGTAGCTGCCGAAGATAGACAAACGATACAAGGCCGTCGCAAAAAAAAAAAAAAGCGCCTGAATACGTTCGGCCTTTTTCGGTGGGAGTGGCGATCGGCTCGGACCGGACTAGGGTTACGCAACAGCGCGTTTCCTCGCCGCTGTCAGATGCAAGCCGGGGACCCCGTCCCACGGGGCATATTACGGACTATGGCTTATAGCACGGCCGCCCGGCCAACCCCCCCCCCTAAATTAGATCTCCCCCTTGTACCCAGGCACCCAGGCAGGCACCTCCTCCTCGCAGCGGGGTCTTGCTTGGTCTGGGCTGTTCCACTGGCAGGGGTGGCTTGTGGAAACGCAACCTAAAGCCGAAACTCAGAACCAACGACATGATTGGTCCCCCGGGCAGAAATCGTCAACGCGTCCCTGAGCATCCTTCTCGGCCTTCAGGGGAGATATTCTGCACGTAATGCGCGCTATTTCCCCCAACGCGACCCAACGCGACCTTCCTAGCGTAATGCGTCAGTCTAGCCACTGACGTCCAATTACTCGGCTTATCTATAGGTAGCTAGCGCGCCCTATAGATGGGGTGAGGCAGGGTTCCAGATTAGCGGGCGGCTTTTAAGACATTGTTGCCCTGAAAGCAAGATGGTCCCCGGCACCTGGGATGCAAGTTGTTGCCCCGAAGGCGGGACGTCGCCTCTGTCAAGATCGGCATTCTCACTGCAACAGCAGAGGAAGCATACAGGAAACTGCTATGCTAGCCTAAGTCAAGGGCAGCAATGAGATATAGAAGTCCTTCTTTGCCTTGTCATTTGCGCCCATCATAGACCTATAGACCCTTTGCAGGCAGAGATGTGCGTGGCCAATTGTAGTACGTGCTCCTATCGAGTCGTCTTTGTTGTCTGAAGAATCAGATCATACATTCTGCACCTGTCCACAGTATGAATCCTGTTAGCCAGGCCAAGGCTCAAAGAAGGTATGTGCTTTGACAGAGAGCTCAAAAGTCCAATAGGCTTCCTTAGGTATCAGAAGCTAGTAGTGAAACAACATCAGAAAGAAAAGGCTAAGAACAGCCTCAACTACGCCCGGTAATCAGTGTCATAATAGAGACTTTCAACAGAGCTAAACCATAAACACTGAAGTCGTCCTATAGCTCTACTAGTAGGGTTAACTACCCGCTGCACCTCACTAGGGTTAGGAGTGAAGGCTGAAGCTTCAATATACACTGGGCTGCAGGAATGTGATCCGCCGCGTCACGTTTAGCTTTCTTATCCCATTGACTACTGCATAACATCGGAACCTCAGATACAATTCCTACTCTTCGCTCAGCATGCTATTCTTGAAAGGGTATGGAGTTGAGGGGAACGACGGAAACAGAATCATATGAAACCATAATTATTTACGACCCCGCATCGAGATCTACTGACGTCATATGGCAGTCGATGGGATAGATTGGAGTTTCAGCTGTAAAAGTAACGCGCAACCGTAACATTCGGAAAACGCATAGGTGTAGTTACCCTTTGCATAGTAGCTAGCTAGGCAACTAACCACCTGGCCCTGATCTGGCAGGACTGTTATTGTGAAGGGGCTAACCTTAACGCGTGTGGTTTTATTCACTTCCCCCTTTTTTTTTTCTTTCCTTTTTCTTCTTTTTTTTTTTTTATTTGTTCCCATTTCTCAATCTTCAAATCCTTCTGCCTCACCCTTTAGCCCGCAAACAACTCATACATAGTAGTATTCTCAATGCTTATGCAAAGTGCAGACCGTACAACCTACAAGCGCAAACATCGTCAAGTCCGGCAGTCGTGTAACGCTTGTAGTCTGCAGAAAATACGATGCGGTAAACAGCACCCGATATGCCACCGGTGCGCGAAGAAGGGGCTGTGCTGCCAGTACAGCATGTCTATGCGTACAGGTGAGCGTCAACGACTAGCCGAATTGTACGACATGCCGGGGAGTAGCACAGGAACGTTGTCATCATTCGCAGCTCCTCAGCTAGTGTCACTATCGCTCAGCACGACGGAGGATCCCTCCACCGAAAGCCCGACGAATCGCTCTCAAGCCTCGTTTGACGACGTCAGGAACTGGAGCTGGCTGATTGACACAGCATCTATGTATTTACTGGAGCCTAGCCTGGAGCTTGCAACAAGCGAAGATCCTTCGACTAATAGCATAGTGTTAAGTTCGCCTAGCAATCAGAACACGCCGTCCTCTCCGCAGTATTATCCGAGACAGCCTGATGGGAACTCCGATATCCCATGTGCGGGAGATACTCGACCCACCGAAGATGTAGGCAACAGTATCCAGGACGCCAGCCCACGGCCGCAAGTGAAGGGCGACGCCCTTAATCCCGATAGAACACGCCGTGTATATGACTGCGCCACTGAGGCTCTGAGCCTCTTAGAAAACCTCCACACGTCAGCGAGCGGCTGTCTAACGGTTGTACAACGCCCACCTCATCTCGTCGCTATCGAGGGAGACTGCAAATCCGGGCAGAAAGATATAGGCGATATACTGTCTGAAAACAGAGAGGCACTCGCCAGACTTAACAGCCTACTAGGCTGTCCATGCTCTAGAAGGCAAAACATACTTCTTTTGACGTACCTGGTGATTGCTAAAATCGCGGACTCGTACCGCCTGATCCTCGGGATCAGCGACAGCGCCGAGCCTGCAGCAAAGCATTCCACTATGGAACAGTCACCTAAGATAACTTTGACGACTGTCTCGTGTATCGGCAGCTACCCCTTGGACGATAACAGCCAGAAGATTCTCAGCGCGCACCTGGTCCTAAGGCAGGTTAGAGATCAAGTTCAGCCTCTACTGAAAAGGATACGTCCCGGCCACGGCCATGTTCCCGACTCACTACCACCTACATACAGTCAGTGGTACCCATCGCCTTTGAAGCCTCTCCAGTCGACGTTACCAGTTCATCACCACTCTCACGTTACGGGCATAATCAACCAAGTGTATGCCGACGCTAGTAGTATCAAAACTGGGTGCTGACACTGTTGCCCTATATCTAAGTAGGGTCATGACGCCTCCAGGTCCTGCGCCCTCGTCGCGGATGAAAAAGCCCGTCGTTCACGGTTGTTAGCAGTATTCTCCTCAACAGGAGGCAGGGAATCGGAGCGAAACTTGTAACCACCCGATATTATGTCACGAGAGCCCGCCTTTTCGCTCAAGCTTGCCCTTTTACGCAGCGTTAGCCACTTCAGTTTCGTTCATTAGCTACCTTAATGTTTAGTAATATGGAGCTCGTTCGTTCTCAATACTATAGCGATTGGGGTGGTGTGGTGGTAGGGTGGACAAGCCAGAAGGTCATATGCCCTCATACGCCAGTCACTTATTAGTAGAATTCATCGGCAATACGAAGTATAGTAGAAATAAACCTACCGTGCCGTTATATATAACGCTGGTCCATTGTAATAGGGTAGCTGGACGAGTCTAGGAGCTAATATCTTCTTTTCCTTCTCAATCTTCTTTTTCCTGAAGTGGCTTTCTGTCCTTTCACTTACTTCCTTTTATTCCTATCTTCTGCCCCCCCCCTCCCTTTTTCTTTTTCGTTTATTGCGAGGAATCCCTTACAATGGCCACAGGCACAGGTTCCAGTCGGGCTTGATCCCAGTATAGATGCTACGCAGTGGTGTTTCCTAGAACAGGCTTCCCTTATACTATTGACCTACTAATCAGATGCAACCCTGTAGACCTAAAATGATTGCTATCATCTGCTGGTTCTCACGTGCTCGACATCAAGGTCCTTAAGCGCCACGGTGAGCCCCTCTTATTCCTGCAGTTCTGCAGTATATATATCCTGTCCCAGCCGCTTACCTTGCGACCTAGGTAGACGGCTGCTCTACTGTCACTATTACATACGTAGCAATCGATTACAGTATGCCCAAGCAGGCAGCTCCTGACTTTAGACACCCATCTGAAAGCGTCTCAGACGCGCAGGAACACCAGGAACACCTGCCAGCCAGCCCTCAGACCGGCTCACCCAACGCAGTAACGATGCCCAAGGACGACGCTAATACAGGCGAGGCCTTACGGCTACTGCTCCCGCGGTATCGGCCGGAGGGGGCCAGCAGCGGGTTGTGCCCTCAAAGCGAGGCCTCGCCGCTCGCAACATCCCCGAACGCTTGGTGCGGCCCGCGACAGCCGCACCTGAACGCCAAGCAGCGGCGCGCAGCAAAGCGACGGGCTCGTTTCCACGTGCCACACGGGCGAACATCTCTAATAGAGGAAGAAGCTAGGGCCTGCGACGACCTGGCGCCGCCCCTTAGGGAAAGATTCTCAGACCCGGTTGAGATACATCGAAGTCTATCGGCTATCCCCGTCCATCCTCCCCCAACCCATCTCCTCAAACCCCGCCCGCACACCGCATACGACCCGTTGATCTGCGACTTCATATCCCTCCTGAAGAGTAAGAATGTCAGCTGTGCGCTCTGCGCCTTCTATAAGCGGGGACGGATAGCAGAGACGCATAAGCTGAAGAGGTGCTCACATCAGGCGGAATCATCGGAAGCCCAGGGCTGGTTAACAATGTTCCGGTCGTACCGTGCCCGCGGCGGCGGCAAGGGGGCGCGGTGCCACGCCTGTCGGTTCCCGCTAACGCTCTGTTGGCGGACGGTCTACCGGGAACAAATGGACGAGTGGTACGGCAATGAGCAAGAGGCGCTGGAGAGGGAGGATATACTATGTAAGGAGGTACAATGCGTATGGGTAAAGGCCGTGCAGCGGTTTGTTACAGCATGCATGATCGTAGAAGGCATTGGTGCTGGTACCGGCGTGAGCACCCTGGGTGCAATGGTCCTGGAGGGTGATGGGCTGGTCGGACTGGTCGGGTCTGTTGTCGAACGGGCCCGAGCATATACGTGGATGGCTAGAGGAGATGGATGAAGTGGATGGGCTCTGGTGCCCGCGACTCCTACGGCTGTTCTGGCTCCTAGCCCACTGCTGAATAAGGTAGTATAGTCAACTACTGAAATCAAGTTGGAATTCTTGTTTCCTTCGGTCTTCCTCTTCCCTTTTTTCTCTTTTTTTCCCTTTCTTCCTTTTCTTTTTCTTTTCTTTTCTTTTTCATCTGCCCTCTCCTTCCTCCCTCAGCGATTCTTTCCCATACACGCGGGAGCCATGTGAGAATGCCCCCTATCAGTCAACAGCAACGTGGAAATTAACTTGAGCCTGACTAATCGGGAAGTCACCTAGCAGCATCTCGGCAAGCAGGAGCGAAAGTGGAGAGAAAGGCACTATATAACTAAACTACAACTGCCTGCCCCTTACCTGCGTACTTGCCTGAAAACACCTACCTTTAAACACCAGGCTAAATCCACACTCACACTCACACACTCCCACATCTGATGCCTTTGTATTAGCGTGGAGCTAGCTAATGAGCTGGAGCAAATCAAGAAACCTACTATTGTGCATCTCCTACTACTGCCTTATAAGGCCTATTAATATCTTGCGCAAACAGTATTGAGTACCTACCTGCAAGGGTACCTCAGGCAAGAACCTACTGACCTAAAACATCACCCTCTAATTCTCATGCTAAAACTGTGACTGCTTAGTTTACCCTCCCTGAAGCGGACCTGCCTCAAACACGAGATATTCAATGCTTACCTGTCAACAACGCAAGAGATCAGGAAACTACCTAGTACCAAGAAATACCTCCTCACCTCCCCATCGCCCAACCCTACAGGAGCGAGCGTTCCGACCAGGAGGAGCAGCAGGAACGAGCGCGACACGCTTCACATCAGCAATCTACCCCTCCTAACCAGCATGGACAGGCTCCCCGCGGAGATCGTCGACCTCATCTTCCGGAACATCGCTAGCCCTGGAACCGGCCTGCGTCACATCGCCCCGTTCCTCCGATGTGGTCGACGATGGTTCGAACACGCCGTCCCCTTCGTCTGGAAGAGAGTGTGCCTCCTGGCCATTACACAAGAGTGTATAGACAATAAGAGGAGGGCCCTGTAACCGTCACAAATCGAGACACTCACCGGCTGGGACGGACGGAAGTGCGGCTGCGGCCTTTGCCAGGCGAACGACCCACCAAACTCACAACCTCGCCAATACCTCCTTCCCCATGTGGACCTCACCTCGATCTACCGACTCCCATTCCCAAGGCTGAGGCAGATACAGCACATGAGGTTCAATGACCCAACGTTACCCGAAATGATCGAAAGACTCCACACAGCAGATGGCAACACCATCACGAGACTGGAAGTCAGCCAGTGGCATGTCGAGTCCGCCCTCCCGGACTTCGTATCATTGCTGACGAATCTCTCCCAACTCCGCGTCGACCATCTGGCATACCATCACGACGAAGTCTCAGTTGTGCAGCCAGCGTGGGACAAGCTGACGTCCGCCAGCATGTTCCGAAACCTGACGTACGGATGTGACGAGTCTGCGATAATCATACACGCCCTGTCCGACTGCCCAGAGCTGAGCAGGCTGCGCATTACTATAGAGCCGGCCATCTCGAGCCTTCTGAGTCCCCTACCCCCAAACCACGCGGATTGGTACAAGCGCCGAGGTCAACCCTTCAGATCTCTCACCAAGCTCGACATCAGACCAATGAGAGAGTGCACCTCCCTGTATCAAGAGCTCGCAACCATGTCAGCCCTGAACTCGCTCACCGTACGGTTCAGGCCAGCCAGCATCTCGCCCGCAATCCTCACGTACCTGTCGAGAATGACGCAGCTGCAGGAGCTCCGCCTGATTGGAACGTCTCGCGGTGGACGGATGGGGCTCTGGAGCCGTGGGACGTTCCCCCCCAACAACGCTTCGGATGCGATCAGAGAGGGATGAGCCAACTCAAGACGTTCCAACTCAGCCTCCCCGGCGTCTACTCCCTCACGCCCGGCCAGGGAAGCCGCCAGCACATGTTGGAGTCGATTGCACGCAACAACCAAGAGATAGAGGAGCTGGTTCTCGACGCGAGCCTGCGGCTGCCAGCAGCATCTTCTTCCTGGCGGCCCCCACCACCAAACTCGACACGCCACGACACCGGGAAATCAATGAAGATAACCCTCCACTCCATCAGCATTCCAAGGGAAGGAGAGCCTGGGCA